CAATTAAAAAAAAAATAAAGAATGGGGTTGGCACAGTGGTAAGGCGTCCCTTGATTCAATCCCAAGTATGGGGACGGGGCAGCCATTTGTAAATGTTCTCATAAATAATCTTTCTTCCACATCACTTTTCTCAAGAGGGTGGGAGGGTAATTTGGTGCCTAAAAGCTCTTATCACTCACTTTCTTTTGAATTTTGTTTAAAAAATATACCACTATGGTAGAATTTTCCTTAGAATACTCTGTGAGATAATAAAAGTTCATTAGGGAAAAAAAATTCTCAAAATCAAATAGTTTGGGAATCATAATATTAAAAAATTAATGGGATTTTTTTTTGGGGGGGGACAAATACTGTGATAGAATCCAGGGGCTCTTTACCCCTGAGCTACATCCCCAAACTATGCCCCCATTTGTTTTTTTGTTTGTTTGTTTTGGTTTTTTTTTTTTGAGACAAGGTCTTACTAAGTTGCCCAAGCTGGTCTAGAACTTGTGACCCTCCTGCCTTAGCCTTGAAATTCACTGGAATTATAGGGATGCACCATCATGCCCAAATGGGATATTTTATTATTATTATTACAGCACTTCTCAGGACATTCAGTATGCAAATGTGCATCTGACTTTTCTAGTAGAAGGAAAACAGTATGTAGTGATCTACAAACTTCCTTGATTGTTTTATCAACTTTGCTTTAATTACCATTCTTTCCTCTCAACCTTGACATCAAATCAGCTATCAAGTCCTATCAGGCTCTGATCTTGTCTTCTCTAAGCCTATAGTCATTACCCTAATTCATGATTCTTATCCTTTTATGTTCCCCTTTCCACTAAATATATATCTCCAAAATATATTAATACCTAATTTAACATTAAAAACAGCTTTAAAAGTTCTTGTTTTGGCAACACAACAATGAAATATTAAAAGATGGCAGAACAGGAGGAAACAAAGAAGAAACACAGAAGAAAAAAGAAAAAAAATGCTAAACCTAAGTCTAAACATTGAAGACTACACTAAATATAAATGGCCAAAACACCAATTGAAAGAAATTATCAGAATGGATTAAAAAGGAAGTTTATCTATACTGTAAAAAAAAATAATAATTTAATTATTATATACTCAGCAAAAAAGTAAAAGGGATGGAAAAATATACACACCATGCATACACATATATGTACTTGACAATAAAAGATTTAAAACACATGAAGTAAAAACTGATAGGAAAGAAGGGGAAAATGGCCATAATTACAATCATATCTGGAGATTTCACTCTTCTCTCAATATTATCAGACAAGTAAACAGGAATCTATAAGGATACAGAAGAACTGAACACCACCATCAACCAAGTGGATATATATAACATTTATAGAAAGTTCTACTCAGTAACAGCAGAATACACATTCCTCTCAAGTGGTTCACATGGCAAGACAGACCATATCCTGGATCATAAATTTAAATATATTTTTAAAGAACTGAAAGCACACTTTATATTCCTTGACCAAAATCAATTAAACTAAAAATTAGTAGCAAAAACTCTCTAAACACTTAGAAATTAAACAATATTATCTTAACTAAGGATGGTAAACTTATTCCATAAACAGAAAGTAACTATTTTAGGTTTTATAGGCCATATATGGTCTCTATTGCATTTTTTTCTCACAGCCCATTAAATGTTCTCCCCACACACACACACCAAAAAAAAAAAAAAAAAAGCTTGCATTTGTGTGTTTGTGTGTGTGCACACGAGCACACACACACACACACACACACACCAACAATCAAAAGTTTAAAAACACCCAGGTAAGAGCCAGATGTGGCTGAAAGGCCACAGTTTGATCACCTTAACTCTAAATAATTAATGAGACAACAAAAAAGTCTCACAGGACATTAGTAAAATATATTAAACCAGGGCTGGGATTGTGGCTCAGCGGTAGAGCGCTCACCTAGCATATGCGAGGCCCTGGGTTCGATCCTCAGCACCAAATAAAAATAAATAAATAAAGGTGTTGTGTCCAACTACAATTGAAAAATAAATATTTTAAAAAATATATATTAAGCTGAAAATGATAATACAACATTACCAAAATGGTGTGGCATACTGATTAAGCAGTGCTTTAGAGTAAAGTTTATAGCACTAAAATACTTATATTAGAAACTACAAAAAAAAAAAAATGTATAAAGTAAACCCAGAACAAGTAGAAGGAAGAAAAGACATAATCAGTAAAACTACAGTTGAGTATTAAAAGATCAGCAAGATCAATAAACTTCTAGACTAAGACTTCTCAACCCTACCAGTATTGAAGCTTTGGGGATAGATAATTCTCTATTGTGGGGGGCTGTCCTGTACACTAGGTTGTTTAGCAACATTGCTGCCTTTTATCCATTAGATACTAAAAACACTTACCACCCCAGATATGATGAAAAGTCTCTCAATATAATGCTAAATGTCCCCTGTGAGGATGAAATGGACACCTGACCATTTGAAAACTGTTCTTGGTAAACATTTTGAATTTGTTGTTAAAGTCTTTTAAAAAAAAAAGAAATCTTCTGGTCCAGATGATTTTATTGGTTAATTCTACCAAACATTTAAAGAAGTAATACAAGCTCTATTCTATATCTTCCAGAAAATTTAACTCATTTTATGAGTTAAACAAATTACTAGCAAATCAAATCCAACCATATATGAAAATCATACCATGACCAAGTGTGGTTCACCCAGAGAGGGAAAATCATTGACTATAATTCACCACATTAACAGACTAAAGAAAAATTACAAGATCATATCAATAGATGCAGAAAAAATCTGTTAACAATATTCAGTATTCCTGATTTTAAAAAAAAGTTTACAAATTAGAAATGTCCTATATTTGGTAGAGGGCAATCATTTTAAAAAACTAGAATTACCACCACATTTAATAGTAAAAGACAAAATGATTTCTCTAGAAGATCAATCACAAGGCAAGGATGCCCACTTTTACTATTCCTACTCAATACTGTATTACAAGTCCTATCTAGCACAGTAAGGCAAGAAAGAGAAATAAAGACATACATATTGAAAAAGAATAATAAAGTGGTCACTATTTATAAAATACATTTTTGACTATATAGAAAATCCAACAGAATCTATCCCTCAAAAGCATATGGTGTTTCCATTGGCATTTCCTGGCAATTTGGAAATGCCAACGGAAACACCATACGCTTCCTTTAAATATAAAGGTGAAAGTTCTCAACTTAAATAAAAGGGAAAAAAAATAAAGTGTGCTTTGGTTCCCAACATCTAATTTGTAAAATTGTGGAGAAAAGGAAATCCATGTTCAAATCACAGAAGTTACAATCACAGTGCATGAAAAGTGTTTAGTTAACACAGAAAAAGCATTAAATTATAAGATTCCATGGTTTCAGGCTTCTACTGGGAGTCTTGGACTATACCCTCATGGGTACAGAAACTATATACCTTTTCGTAATAAATATAAAGTACAAAAGTATACTTTTAATAATATTTTCTTGTTATTATAAAATTACATAAAACTGTGTGAATAAAACAACTTGGAATTTATTTGTCAAATTAATTCTCAGGCATATAAATATGTGTTCTAAAAATTATTTTAGATAGCTATTGATAAAAAAGTCATCATGTTTGGTTAATTCCCAAAACCACATTTAACTATTGAAAAGTGATTTACTAAAAATGTTTCTCTACTCAAGAGCTCTATTCCATTGTATTAAAAGTCTTCCATTATTCATGTTTTAAGTTGTATATTATTCTAAAAGTTTCTTCACTAAAATTTGAAAATCAAAGTGAACAAACTTTAATAGGTTATGAACAGATTTCCTATCAACAGAGCTGTTCCAGTAAAAAAAGCCTTGTCTATTAAGAAAGGTCTCTAAGAAAGAATTATGCCCACTGTCTTTCCTCTAATATACATGACTTATTTTAATGTAGTAAAGCCAAAAGATTTATCATTGACAGAAATTATATATAGGCCTAACAATGAGATTCTGATTAGTGTCACAAAAGATCAAAATATATATCAATTATAAACTTATAGGAGTTGATTTGCAATTAGAGTCTCTAAATATAGCTCACAAAATTTCACAGACTAAATGAGTTCTCTAACTAGTACCCACCCATGTATAAGTGAAATAATTTCAGCTTTAGAAAACTCAGCTGTTTTTTATCTAGTATGACCTCATTTATACAGAAGGATCCTCACAAAAATTTATTTTCAAACATACATTTAACTAGAAGGTTGAAAAGCAGGTAGGGGTAAAATCACACCATCAATTTAAATATGTTATTTTAGAAATAAGAACACAGACTAGAAATTAAATAAACCTAATTTTAAAATACAATGAAGCTAGATCCAAGCTAACCCATCTAATTACAAAATAGGGCATAGGTATTTATACATCAACAAATACTATTGTAGATAAACAAAACTAAGGCTACCTTTATAAAATGAGGCAAGGAACTCAAGCCACTCGAAAAGGGTAAAGGGTTAGATGATAGTTCTTTTCCACACCTAGTCTTTTCTATAAGATGAAAATATGATTTCTTCCAAAACAAAAAGCATCTTTAAAGAATTGTCAACTTGTGTAAATAGACTTTCTCTTAGTTCACTGAGCAAAAAGTAAATTACTTCTGGGTACCAAGTATTAAAAGCAGAAGTAAATCTATGAAACCAACTAAAACAAACCAATTATAAAGAACAAAATTCCCCCAATTCTTATGCCTTCCCAACTTATGTCTACAAAACCATCTGTACTGAATTTTATACTTGGTAATTTCTGAAAACATGCCATTGTGGGTGATATTTCCAACCCAGACTGTTCCGTTCTCCAGCTCATTCTCAAATGTTGGTTCAACTCAAACTACCTGCAACTCAACAAAAATCACAAAAAGCCTAGACTACTAAGTCATGAAAGGTATTTGTGGCCACAATCCATCAGCTTTGCAATTTGTGAACCAATACATATACAACAAAGAAACAACATTTATAAGTGGTACCTACGTTCTTTCCGGTGTTCAACTAAACCTACAGCCTGCTTTGCTGAGCATTTTGCAAACCAGTTGTCCCCAAGTAAAACAGTGACTTCATTAGTATGAACAAGTTTTCCTGGCATGAAGGCAAAGGGGCCAAATGGTACCTATTGTTTAAAAAAGAAAAGAAAAAGGCAAAAGAATTAAAGCACTAAAACATACACTTTATGAAACACTTAGCATTAAGAGTCCTCAGTATTATTGAACTCTCTTTTTAATTATACACTGGGAGAAATAAAATGCTAACTTCACAGAAATTTAACATTTTATATTAAAACTTCACCAGGAAAATCTATAGAAAATTACTTTAAGCTAATAATCAATGTTAAAACAGGAATATAAATCCATACCATGTTTACACATCACTCTTTAAACAACTGCGCTAAGAGAAAGTGTGGCCTCTGAGCATTTATACTTTTCATTAATTCTTAAATCTACATGAAATTACTAAGAGTAACGAAATATTATCAATGAAGAATATTCTTGGTTTAAAAAAAAAACCTGAAAATTATTTCCAATAACTGTCATTTTTGCAAAGCAGGGAGGAAAATAGCTTTAATGAATCTTCCTAGCTATATTACAAAATATTTGGGCTAGTATAACAAAAAACCTTCAAGAAACAGAGTACTCATATGGTAAAAGGTTCTAATCCAGGGCTCTCTCTCAACAGGTCACTATATCACTGTGAGGATCATTAAAACAAAAATTATCAGCACCTTTTTTTAATGGAAAAAAAATCAATGTTCTAACATTTAATTCTACGAATTACAAAATATTACAGCCTATGCGATATTACTGTTGTAACTCCAGTTTTTTATGTAGTAAGTTTGCACAACAAATGTCAAATTCTGTGCTAATATTTATGTCACTATAATGAAATACATACACACACACACACACACACAAAAAAAAATTTACCAACCATTACTACAATTACTGTAATGTTATAAAGTATAACAAAACCTTCCTTGAAATGGTAGTTACCTCTGATACAGTCCATCAATTTGTCAATTTGTACACATACAGCAAAAAAAAATCATATTTTACACAATTAATGTTTACAAGAAACAATGTATTGCTTTAAAAGAAACACGCTAAACATACCATGATATTATAAGACAACTTATCAGGTAAAGTACTGAGTCTTTCTTGAAGGGCATTATAGTCATTATCTACCTTCTTCCTGTTGACAAAAAAGACCAAACACTAAATGAATGAACAGATTAACAATTCTTCCACTCTATGTATCATAAGACAAACTAATTAAAAACCTAATCTTACTCTATTTGTGTACAATGAATCATCTGTCATGTATAACTGATTAGAAAATAAATTTTTAAAAAAATTTTAAAACACCTAATTTTAGCCATTTACAGAGTAAACATTTTTTTTTTAATTTTCAGAAGTTTTTTTCTTTGAAGTTTAGGAATAGCATTATCCCACCATATATTTATTAAAGAATTAAGATTCTCCATGAATTTTGGCTTTAAGAATTACAATTAGTGTTTCCCTGTAGAAGTCTACTCTGACTAAATAAAATGTAGAAATAAGGTAAAGAGGTGGGCTTCATGTTTGGAAGGAAACAGGGGCTCAAAGGGAAGAAAAAAAATTTAATAAAACTTTTGAGTGAATAAACACTGAGAAATGGAAATCATGAACTCAAATCTGATCAAATGCTTGATCCTAAACTTTAGGCTGAAAAATGTGGTGTCGTCAACTCTTCAATTACTCATACTAATGTGATTAAGGTGAGAGAAAAATCAACCAAGGGGCAGAAGAAATTAGGCAAAGGTAATACAAAAAGCTTTTCAATTTGGCTTTGCAGTCTGTTTTATGTTTTATCAAAGCAGAGGTACCAGCCGGGCATGGTGATCTACGCATGCTACTTGGGAGGCTGAAGCATGAGGATCACAAGTTTGAGGTCATCCTAGGTAATTTAGTAAGACTCTCTGTCAAAATTTAAAAAAAAAAAAAAAAAGGTTTGGATGTAGCTCAGTAGTAGAGTGCTTGCTTAGCATGTCAGCATGTACATCTCTAATACAGGGGTAGGGGTGAGAGGGACAGAGCTACCAAATACATTAATTTCAAAGAATCAAAAAATATAATTCTATCAGGGTCACATTTTCATGCTGTGGGCTCTACCCAGTTCTTAGACATAGAATACCAAGCACCAGCCTATGCTGAGATGCCCATTTTCAAACTACCTCTGGAGATTTGGTTTCCTAAGGGTTCCCTGTTAGGATGTAGGCTGCAAGCAAAACCAGGGCACTAAATTTTTTTTTGTAAGCAAAAGGGCATTATCAATTCTAAAACGTTGCAAAAATCAACTCAGCAAATAACTTAAATGTACATGTAGATATAGTCAAATTAGGATAAATGCACCATAATTAATCACTCTATATAATCAAAATGTCTACACTATAAACATCATGGAACTGGTTTCAGTTTACTCCTTAGCTGCTCTATAGCAATAATAGCATAATTAATAAAAGTTACCTCATTTAGTCTTAAGGTCTCAGGAATTTCACATATATATTGATATTTATCCTGAAAGTATTCTTATAGTAAATGTCACTTACCATTTTTCTGTTACAGAAGAAAAAGTAGAAGAAAAATGGAGATAAACAGATCTCCTACACAACTGGTGAGATGAGTACTGATTCTAACCTAGGTCTTTTGACCTGTATTCTTGTTATTATTTTCTTTTTAGATATACATGACACAGACTTCAATTTGACATAATTAAAAAACATGGACTGTATCTTGTTCAAATTTAGTCCCCAGTACCTCTCTTTTCGCTTCCCTTCCCCTACCCGCTGCTTCCTTTTCTCTATTGATTCTTGTCATTTACCCAGTTATATTTTTATTAATTTTTATGGATATCCACAATGGTGAGGTTCCCTGTGGTATATTTATATATGTGTAAAAGTTATGTCTTCATTCCACTGCCTTTCCTTCTCCCATCCCCCTTTACTTCACCCTTCATTTCCCTTTGTCTATTCCACTGAACTTCTATTTGCACCCCCACACCCTTATTGTGGATTAGCTTCCATATTTCAGAGAAAACATTTGACCTTTAGTTTTTGGGGACTGGCTTATTTCACTTAGCATGACAGTCTTCAGATCCATCATTTATTTACTGGCAAATGTCGTAAAGTCATTCTTTATGGCTGAGTAATAATCCACTGCGTATATACACCAAATTTTCTTTATCCTGACCTGTATTCATTCAAGCAAACTTTTTTCACTTTTCTGGTATTCAAAAGTGCTTTTTATAAACTTTCCTCACAAATCCTTTTCTATTAATAAACATAAAATGCCTTTTATGAGTTGGGGATATAGCTCAGTTGGTACAGTACTTGCCGTGCCTGCACAAGGCCAGGGGTTCAATCCCCAGCACACCACACACACACACACACACACACACACACACAGAGGCTTTTGTTATATTTAAGGCAAAACTTAACCTTCCAAATAAAATTTTATATGGATAAAATGGGGAAAAAAAACCCTTTATGCACAGAATTATGAACCAGAAAAAGCATAACTCTGAAGTCAGACCACAGAATAAATCCCAGCTCTACTTCTTAACACACACATGCAAATTAACCTTAGTCTTAAATATCTTCAGTGGTAAAATTGGAATGATACCTATTCTCATAGGTTTCAGATAATTAAATATAAAAGATGTAACTCCTACCCAGTTTTAAGAATCTATGTTTTTCCATGAATCAAAAACAAACCAAAAAAACACCCACCAACCCTACAGGAAAAACTATTATCTACTAAAATTAAGAGTCCACTAAGTAAATTCTTTTAAATGGATAGTCGGACTTATCGAAAGACAGTAGAGCTAAATGTAACCATTCAGGGGCTTTGAAAACAGGGTTAGTGTAAGCAATAAATAGGATAATGCCTATAAAGAACAGATTTGATACAGTGCCTACACATAAGCATTCATTATTAAATCTATGGAATACTAACAATTTATATGTTTGAGATAAATAAGTTGATTATACATCAACTATCTAAATGTTTCTGTGATTAAGTAGTATTAAAGTTAACATTCAATATGTCTTACATAGGCAAATATAACTAGAAAATTGGACTTTAAAAAAAATCTCCTTCATACGTTAAGAGTAGATTTAACTTAAGGTAATACCAAAGATCAATGTCAGTATTCCAAATCAAGTATATTCAGTTTTAAGTTCATCATTAATAATCCTCCTAGAATAAAAATGTGGTCAAATTGTAAAACAGTTAAAGACTGGAGCTGCTATTTCTAAGTTTTGAATTATTTTCTAAAAATAAAAAAAAAGGAAGATAATATAAAATGCAACCCATGAAAATTCCTTTTTAAAGGGAGACCAGCAGAAGGCAAGCAGTGTTTCTGGAATAAATTATGGCCTGGGAAACTCTCTGAAGGCCACCGCTCTTGTCAAAATGTCCATGACCAAGTGCTTAATCAAAGGGTCTTCTCCAATAGTTCCTCTAATATTTAGGGCTTAAATAAACCCATTAAAGATCACAAAGGCAACAGAAAATTCAAGTTATTTTAGAACCAATGCTGAGTGTTGCACGGGGTAAATAGGAGATCTTTATATGTACCAGAATTTATCATAAATTTTCTACATTATTACTTGGAAGCAAAATTACATTTTGGACATTATGGTCATATTAAAATGTAGTCAAAGAGGTAATTACTTTTTTTAAAATTCAAATTGGGAACAAAACACAGCTACAATTAGGATAACCATTTCAAGTCTACTTACTTATATGTATAGACCCGTTTGTTTCACTTTACCATATTTGATCCTTACAGTTTAAGATAAGCTTTCAATTCCTAATTTAAAATTTTATCCAATAAATAAAGTTTAAGTTGTACCAGATAACCTCGTGCAACTTTCCCTATAGAAAACAATAACTAAAACATCTGTATAAGGCATACAAAAACTTGTAAAATATCCTTTGAATTTTGCTACTCATGTCTACATGTCTCCGAGAGGCATTTTTTGTTTTAAATAGAAGTAGCGACGACTATAAATTAACCTTAACCTTAAAGGATTAGGAATGAGACAGATTGCATGTGAAACACTTAATTTTCATAATTTTGGGGAAAAAGTATGAGAGAGCAAGTTAAATGAGGTGTATGCACAAGTATTTAAAGGTGAAGTATATTGATGTCCATACTTTGAAACTTTTCTATATGCTTGATTTTTTTTCACTTTCGGTATGTGTGAAGATTTATATAATGTTCAGAAGGGGGCACAGAAATATGAAAAGAACTCCGTATTTTTAATCCTTCTCTTATAAAATCTTTGTAAAGGAAAAAATAAGTTCTATATTTCTTATTTTAGACATGTAATAGACTCCAATCTCCATCTTTAAATCACGAAAAAAGGGAGATAAAACAATAAGACACTGCTAATTTAAAGTAGGAAGCTAGAATAGGCAAAAAAAAAAATACTAACATCAAACCCCTTTTTCCTCCTCAGAAATAGTCTCACATCATTCTCTACCTTTACCTAACATGCTAAATAAATAAAGAACCAGAAGTGCTGAAATGGGAAACAAAGAGAAAGGCTTTTATATTGCCATTACTATCTGAGTTTATCTGGGACAAAGACTTAATTTTTTTTTAATTTAAGAAATGATGAAATCCAAAGATTTTAACACCACCTATTGAATACCTCCTCTATAACTAAGCCTTATGCCATGTACTGCAGGGATCAAATATAACATGCATGTTTTTTTTTGTTTGTTTGTTTGTTTGTTTTGTTTTTAATTTGCAATCCACTGGCTTGAAGAATTCCTGTGTTTTCATCTTTAAAATTAAGAAAATGAAGGAATATTAAATTCAGCCATGGGTTATTTGCATATAGAAAGATATTCTCTCAATACTAAAGCAAAGAATAATAATTTTTTTCAAAGTAGCTTCTTAATCTAAAGAAAGTGTTCAAGTTAAATTAAAAAATAAAAACATTCCTGAAAGACGAACTTAAACTCCTATGCTTTCTACAGTTTTATGGGGAAAGGAATGCTCATTAAAAATTTAAATGTATTTACTGTATGAAATCAAAAGCAATAATCATCTTTCTAAATGATCATGACAAAATACTTTATAACTTCAATCAATGAAATAAGGGGACAAAGACTTAATTTTTAATGTATATAAAATCCAGA